TTTGATAATTTAGTTAGAGATATAATACCCAATCAATTAAATTATACTCAAGTTGCACATTAGTCGAACTAATCATGACTTTTCTAAATTGATTTAGAGAAAATTATTGTACCGAATTAGGTTACGCACAATCAATATGACAATTCACCTTTATATGACAAGTGATTCGACCCTACAACTATATTTTAAGTATTCCTTTATTCTCTTTGCCAAAAGATTACTTAATTCAATTCAAGGTGGTTAGCCAAACCTATTTGATGTCCTTCAGCCATTACACCCATCTTTTTATATGAAAGATTTATTTGTTTACGTCGAAACGAAAAGGAAAATCAAATTATTTTTTAAGAATAAAGACACTTTACAAACACAGATTCCCCAATATCATACTAAGAATAGCTAGGATTTTTAGAAGAAGATGCCATTCGATTCGAGTGGGAGAGTCTTGAGTCAATAGAGGATTCCTCACTTCTTTCTTTCATTCAAAACCGTGCATGAGACTTTCATTTTGCACGGCTCCTAAACTAAGTGATAAAAAAAAAAAAAAAAGAATTCACTACTTATTTGTTTCCGAAACACTTTGAAGGGCTTCCTAATATTTTTAAAAGGACGTAGGACTCAAGAAAATATCGAGTATAATGTTAATATTAATTGAAATAGCGATTAATTTCTAATGTCAATATTGAACCACTAATATATGAAAGGTTGACATTTCCATAAAAATTTAATTTCTTAAGACGTTCAAAAATCTCAATTTAATTTTATGGAAGTATCGATAAAATGTGGATGCTAAACAAAATTTTTGGAAAACTTATAAATCCACAAAAATCATAAAAATATTTAAATTAATCCCTCCTACATTCATCACATTGGTTGAAGGTTAAATTAAGAATATGTTTAAATATGATTTTTCTAAGCCTAACGGTTAAAAAAAAAAAAAAAAAATGCTTAGGAAGTTGTAACTATACTTCTATTATATTATAAAATAATTGACTATATATAATCAAAATGTACTTAATGTAGATCTAACATTAATAATTAAAAAAATGGTAAAATTCTTATTTAATTATAGTCAACTAGCTCAAAATTAAAAATAAATATAAGCATTCCTTTATTCCCTTTTCTAAACTACCATTTTTTCAAGTTTCGATGTTATCTTAGGCCGCTAGAGAGTCTAATAAACGAGTTATAGATAGTCGGGATCAAGTCTTAAATTATGGGTTTAGTGTATATGATAAAGCATAATTAGTAAAATATAGTAACAAAAAGAGTTAAGCAAAACATTCTAGAATTCCCGAACACGAAAAATCAAACTCTAGAGAGTTGCCACATTGATGAACTTACCCATTCAGAAATTCAAGATGAGTATGCTCGTTATGAAATAATACGTATATACTGACTTAGGATGATATGAACTAAGAGACATCAATCATACAATATATTTTAATGAAGATGTGAAAAAAAATATTGTTGAAATTATCAAAAGATATTTCAATTCATGCTAAGTTTCATTGTTATCACATTTGGAATTAAAAAGAATAGAATTTCTATTAGCTAAGATTTTCTTTGCAAACTCTTGTGTTTTGAACTTGCATGCTAGAGTCATTCAAGAGATATTGATCAAATCTCTTATGGAGTGATTTGAATCACGAGTTTTCTTTACTCTTGATCTTGATCATCAAAGGTAATCTGTTCCATACTTTTCCTTGGGTTGATTTCATATCATAGGAACAAAGTGAGGTAACCCGAGTATATAGAATGATATTCTAATCCTGCTTACAAGCCACAAGATATTATGAGGCGATTTTTATAGAGGTACGGGTAACTACGTTAATTATCCATATGATTTAACTGGTAGGCTTGAAGGAGGGCTATCATTTTATTCTTAAATAATATTTAATTTAAATATTTGTAAATTACATAATATTTAAGAATACACATTTTGATTTATATCATTTTTAGACTAAGATGCTATCATCACTTCTACCTAGCTTTAATAAATAACACAATTAGTAAAGTCAACTACTTTTAGTTGACTATTCCTTCATTCCATAAAATTATTAGAATTTTATATCTTTTATTAGAATTTTATAAAATTCTAATAATTTTCCTTCCCCATGTAAGGACAACAATAGTTGAATAAACCTAGAAGCTCACACCAACTTGTATTAATTATTTCTAAAAGAAAAAAAATTTATTTATTTTTATAAATTTTGAATTCACGGTGACAAATTATTGTTGCTGTGAGATCTCACATCGATTGGAGAGAGAAACGATTCGATTTTTTGTAAGGGTGTGAGAACCTCTCCCTAACAAATGCATTGAAAATCATGAGGCTGATGACGATACATAATGGACCAAAACCGAGATTATCTGTTACTAGTGAGCTTGGGCAGTTACAAATAGTATCATAGCTAGGCACTGAGCAATGTACCAACGAGGATGCTAGGCCAGAAGGGGAGATAAACTGTGAGATCTCACATCAGTTGTAGAGGGAAACGAAACATTCTTTATAAGGATGTGAAAACCTCTCCCTAACAGACACATTTTAAAACCGAAGGGTAGATGACAATATGTAACGAGCTAAAGCGGACAATATCCGCTAGCTGTTGACTTGAGCTATTATAAATGGTATTAGAGCTAGACACCAGGTGGTGTGCTAGCGAGGACGTTGGGCACCCCAAGGGACATGAAGAATTTATGAGATCCCACATCGATTGGAGAAGGGAATGAGTGCCAACGAGGACACTAGGCTCCGAAGGAGGGTGGATTGTGAGATCCCACATCGGTTGGAGAGAAGAACGAAACATTTTTTATAAGGGAGTAAAAATCTCTCCCTAACAGACGACGCGTTTTAAAAACCTTGAGGTGAAATCCGAAAGAAAAAACCCAAAGAGGACAAAATCTGCTAATAGTGGGCTTGGACTGTTATACAGGGGGAGAAGGAATCTCTTTTCTACTACAAAAAATCGAGTTGATTTAACTTGACATGACCTAACGATGCATCTAATACCGATGATCTATGCCTACAATGCACAGTTAGATCGATGCTCTAGAAAGCTATGTAGGCAATAAGGAAACAGGTTTGACCTAGGGCTTCTCTTTCTTTACTTTTATCACGACGAGGGAATCATGTCCGCTAACATAAACACAAGTCAATGGTAATCGATATGTACTCGGAGTGTTATCATCCATTAAATCAATAAATTAGTAAATTAAGAAATATATTTAAATTTTGGTCATGTAATATTAAATCAATATTTGTTTGTAGTCATATTTATTAGAATAATAGTTTACTTTCAATTTCCACATCGATTTAAATATTAAGTCAATAATTTATTTTAAATTCAATTAATGGGATAAATAGTAAATATCTTTTTAAATATTGGTTGGTCTCTCAAAACACAAAAAAATGATCTTCCAACTTCATTGGCCTCTCTTCCATTTTTTTTTTGGAGTGTTGTATAGCGGTGGAGTGTTGTATAGCGGTGAATTCTCATATTTGGAAGTCGGACGAATGCTCGGGAACCTTTTGTTTGGGAGCCGATTTGAATATTGTGGTCGTCTCGCATCGAAAAGTTGCACCTATGTTGTGGGTTTCAGGTCGAAAAGCTCGTTGAATATGGTCCTTGATCGAATTACACGTAAACATAACTTTCATACTTGACTATAAGATATTGCTATCTATCAAGCTTCCTTGGTTTAGTATATGTTGATACATTCCTTTCTGTTTCTATAGTCATAACACTGCGTATTTTAACTATGTTAGAGACGTTTGACTGAAACATCTGACATTCCTTAGAAAAATCATTTTCATGCAAAGTAAATCATATCTTATTAACATGTATGATAATGTGACGTCCCACATTGGTTGGGGAGGAGAACAAATCATCATTTATAAGGTAAATCTAAATACTGTCAACTAACTTTCATATTCCATGCAAGGTAAATCATATCATACTCTATATTATAATAAACATAGAACTAAGTCAACAATGATGCAATAAACTATAACATAGTTAATGGTGTCAAAATTCAATGATGAGTTATAATTGATAATAACCAAGCAGTAACAACATACGCAATCAATGACATTTCATTTTCTTATCGTTTGCATGACATACTTGATGGTGACGGTGTATCAACAGTGGGACCATGGAATATGTCAAGTCTAACTCGTAGGTTAGTCTACATAAGTAGAAATCTAGGATCGTTACAGATTTAAACGTCCAGAATGGTTCTCCCCAATGCCACTTAGCATTCTTGTGAACCAAACTGCTCTCTACCGCTCATGTAGATCCCTAATTAGGCAAGGAGGAACCAACATGATCCTTTTGCCCTAAGGTGCTACGACTTCTAATTCTTGGTCTCGAAATGGGTAAGGGTATCCTATTTTACCTATAGAGTTTGATGAACGTTATATGAGTGGGAGCATATCGATTTTCGACCTAGCTTTTTGGGTTTGGCTTAACTCAATCAACCGGTTTAAATCATTTAAATTTAACCCAATACTTTTTTTTTCTGGTGATCTCGAACAAAATTAGTTTCAAGTTCGACCCCAACATAACCTAATAATGTGAAACTCAATGCAAACCTATGTCGACAAGAATAATGATGATATGAACTTTGATATGATCATAATTAAAGCTGTCCAACTTCTTTGTTTTTGCCCTAATTGTCTTTATCTCACAACAATATAAACAACCCTAAAATTTTCAAGACAAAAACATGGAGATTTCATTAATGAATGGCGATTAAACTTATGAGATGAACGTTATATACAATGCTCCTTAGGCTATATACAATAATGCAACCCTTTTATGTTGTTCTTGCCCATAAGTTTTCGAGCCTATCTTGTGAGCTCGACAATGGTACGTTTGGATTCTGATCTCACCTTTTTATGCTTTTTGATTATGCTTCGTCATGTCAATTTGTAGCGTAGATAATCGTTGATATTCGTTCGTGTTTGTCGATTTGGGTATAGTTGGTTTGACGTAGATTACATGCAGGGATCTGAGGAGAAGGAGATCAATGTTGTCGATCCAACAAATGAAGGAAAAGGTGGATTTCGAGCTACCATGTTCATTTTCGGTAAGTCATTAAGTTCAATTAGGTTAAACTAAAGATGGAAATATCGACGTACGTTATTGACAGAAGTGACTTGAGATGTTGCTTTTATGGATATTTGAGTCAATAGAAGATATTAGGTTCCGTTTTTTAACTAGAGATGGAGTAATGAATGTAAACCAGTAAAATATTTGATATTCAAAACAATATCCAACTTGTCCCATCCGATTTCTCGTTTATTTTACTTGGTTGACCTAATCTATGCCACCACATCTTACCAAAACCATTTCTAAACATAAATAAAACATTTTAAGTTTAGGAGCTAAACGTATATCACAATGATGAACACGAGTACCACACCAATAATAATATATACTCATTTTCTTGAGGTCAAAAATTTAAATCGTTCGATCGCCCTAAAGACGTGTGAATTTTGATAGCCCTGCTGACGTTTGAGAGCATGGGGTTTGTGGCAAACATGGTGAGCTTGGTTCAATACTTTCTTATGGTGCTGCACTTTGATCTTCAAACTGCTGCAAATACACTCACCAACTTCTTGGGCTCTGCTTTCTTGCTCTCTCTTCTGGGTGGCTTCCTTTCCGATACCTATATCAATCGACTCACCACCTGTCTCATTTTTGGCGTGCTCGAAGTTCTCGTAAGTTTTATTCTTTTAAAAAAATCGACAGTGTGTTTTTAGTCAAATTTTAGAAACAATTATTTTTGTTCAATTTTATAAAATTTAATAATTTATTGTGATATCCCACATTAGTTGCGAAGGAGAACGGAACATCTTTATAAGGGTGTGAAAACCTTTCCCCAACAGACACGTTTTAAAACCTTGACGGGAAGTTCGAAAGGGAAACCCTAAATAGGATAATATCTGCTAGCTGTTGGCTTGGACGGTTATAAATGGTATCAGAGCCAGATACTGGACTATGTGCTAGCAAGGGGGAAATGGTATCAGAGCCAGACACTGGACTATGTGCCAGCGAGGAGGCTCTTCCTTGAAGAGGGTAGACATGAGGCGGTGTGCCAGTAAGGACGCTGGCTCCAAAAGGGTGGATTTGGCAGGGTCCCACATTGATTGGAGAAAGAAACGAGTATCAGCAAGGACGTTGGGCCCTGAAGAGGGGTGGATTGTGATATTTCACATTGGTTGGGGAGGAGAACGAAACACCCTTTCTAAGATCGATTGTTGAAGGGAACGAAACATTTCTTATAAAGATACGGTAATGAGAAATTGGACTTCCTGTTATAAATGGCAAAGAGCCAGACACATTGGTTGGAGAGGGGGAAGCTCGAATAAAAATTACAATTTAAATGTGACCATTTTAGTTAGTTTAGTTTGTATTTATGAGTCATATTGTGACAACTTCCACGAAACAGGCGTTGGTGATAGTGACAGTCCAAGCCTACTCCCACGATTTGTTACCAAAGGCCGATTGCCCAAAGGACTGTGTCCACGGTCGCATTGCCTTCGTATTCTACACTTCGTTGTGCCTACTAGCGATCGGGTCAGGCGGGGTGCGAGGGGCCCTGCCAGCACTCGGGGCGGACCAATTCAACCAAAAGGATCCAAAGGAGGCGAAGGCATTAGCCACATTTTTCAACTGTTTGTTGCTTAGTGTAGTAATTGGAGCGGCGGTGGGAGTGACCTTGATTGTGTGGGTAGCTGTGAACAAGGCTTGGTATTGGGGGTTCTTCATCTCAGCTTTGGCTACTGCTGTTGGGTTCATTGTGTTTGCCCTTGGGAAGCCATTTTATCGCCTTCATGTGCCTGGTCAAAGCCCACTCTTGAGGATTATTCAGGTTTTTATTTTTTTATTTTTTTATTTTTTGGAAAAAATTATTTATTTTGAATTTCATATATTACCCCCACTTTAAAAAAATATATACTTAATTAGATAAATGTAATATTAAGAATTACGACCAACTCTTTGCAATAATTTTAGTATGAGTACAAACCATTTTTTTGTTTTTTTTTTTTTTTTTTTTTTTT